GACCGTTAATATCGTTCAAATGGACTCAATCTAAAAGCCAACAAATCTACATCGTGATTTTCATCTGTAACACGGTTTCCTTTTGCTAAGATTATTTTTCTTTTGTTATTATTGTTGTTGCTCTTGTTATTATCGCTGATCGAGCAAAAAGATCGGATTTGGAATATAATTTAAACCTAACAATGATGAATTCATTCGAGATCCTTAAGAAAATAGTTTACAGGCGTGAACATTATTTGCGAGATACGTTATATACGTTAATACATATAAGGTAGCGATTTACACGATCGGTTAGAAAACCGAAGCGTTAAAACTCGGTCCGACTCGTTCACACGTTCGTTATGTATACTTGTATGTGCGATGTCGTGGGGGGCAACCGAGGCGTGCACTCGCGTCTTCCGTATACGTTTACCTCGTGTCGTTAAACGAAAGGCCACGAATACTACGTTGCAAGTGGGAACAGGATAAGAAACAGAGAAAAAGAGAAGGAGAAAGAGAGAGAGAGAGAGGAACAGAGTGCCGAGATCACTCGTGTTCACCGAAATTTATGGGGTTCGCTTGAACGGCACTGCTGCAGCTTGCCCGTTCGAATTTGCATAGAGTCGAGCGCTAATAGTTGGAGATAACCCGACTAGTTAGAGAGTAAGGGAGAGGTGAAGAAAGATAGAAAGAGAAAGAGAGAGAGAGAGAGAGAATCCGTGCGCACTTCCGCTGAAGAGAAGCAAGAGTATGAGAAAAGGAGAAGGAGGAAGAGGAGGAGGAGGAGGAGGGTAGAAGTATATGACGACGACAGCGACGTCTTCGTGGTCGTCCGTGGCACACAGAACTTGCTATCTGTTACTACTACAGGACTATATAGGGTCCCTAGAGGGTGTTACCAGGGCAGGGCTGCTCTGCTTGTGGTTATTGGATTCTACCAAGGATCTCGCCTCCTTGTGTTATGTGATAACATATAGAGACGCCAAGTGTTATTGTTCGTTGCATCCTTGAGGCGAGCCAATGTGCTTCCTCTTCTCTTCGAATGCCATCTTCAAGCTCTGAGGAAAGCGAAAATAGAGCGGAAAAGATAGTAAAGACATAAAAGAGTATATTAAATATACGGTAGGAAAAGCAACTCGATATATAAGGATATTCAAGAACGTTTGAGAAACACTCGAAAAATAATACACGACATACGCCCGTAGATAAAAGCACATCAAGAGATTTTTCTTTGCTAGTACCATCGTTATATTTTATCTAACTCTTTTTTTCCATTTCTTTTTTTCTCTCTCTCTCTCTCTCTTTTTAAAGAGCAATCGAAGTACCTACTCCACGAAGTTTATTAAAGACGCAAAATAACATAATGAAAAAGGGGGGTAATTTTACTTAACCGATGTTACGTAGATGTAAGAAGCAGTTCCGCGTTCGACGGACGATAAATTTTTTATAAGAGCTACTCGAAACTTTAAATACCATCAGTAGTCAATAGGTTCGTGCATTTAAAAGAAAGAAAGAGAGAGAGAGAGAGAGAGACGAGGCTAAGCAACCGTTAGTCTGACACCAGGCAGCGTAGCTTGCAACGAACGTTTCATAATTTAAATACGAATCACCTTAGACGGACCGAATAATCCTTGTTGAGTCGTCGCGTTCAAGAAGTAAAAGAAAGTTGCGTCACGTAGCATCATCGGTAGTCGAAGTTCCAACGTTGTCTCTCGCGTATCGATGATCACTACCCGACTTATATTCCTTCTTCGTTTTACCATCGAGAGCGCAAGGAGGAAAGAAAGACAGAAATCAAGAAATAAAGAAATAAATAAAGAAAGAAAGAAAGAAAGAAAGAGAAGCAAGCAGGTGCGTAAAAGTCGTGTAGTCATGCTAGCAAGAAGCCTTTCAACGAATCCGAAGGAGTAAATGCCGAAGCAGCGTAGTCATGGTTAGAACCATGGCTTACCTGGCACTCGCCAAGAAATGCCCGGTAGTCATCGCCTTCGTCATACCTAACTACCTGCTCTCTTCTCTCTCTCTCTCTTATTCTCTATATGTCTGTCTCTTTCTATCTATCTATCTATCTATCTATCTATCTATCTATCTATCTATCTATCTTACCATCTTCTTCTTCTTCTATTTCTTTCACGTTGTGTTCTAGCGACTACCGGCTACGATGATCGCTGCCGATCGAGTCGCATCTCGTCTCTGCGATCTACAATATAATTTTAACGCATCGAATGTTCTATCCCTTTTCCTCTCTCTCTCTCTTTTGCAAGCTTTTTTTTCCTCTTTTTATTCGGACTCTTCCATTCGAGCTCGCACGATAAAAAAAAATATTGCACACGAGCCGTCGACCTATCTATCTATCTCTTTCTCTACTTTCATTCCCCTTTTCTCTCACTCACATCACCCGTTATATTATTACGTAAATTCGTCAAGCGTTTTTTTTTTTTATCTGGTATATCGAATGGTCACTGGTAGACCAATCGTGCAGTTTTCGATCAAGGTAATATATGCAGTTTAGTTCTTCGCGTAAAGCGTTTGAAGTAATTACGTTATTTTCGATCGTTCGTTTCTTTTTCGCGTTACGATTTGCGTGTTAGTTGACTATGCTCAGAAGGAAATCTACATAAACATCGTCGTCTTCTTCCTTCCTTCCTTCTTTCTTTCCTTTCTTTCTTTCTTTCTTTCTTTCTTTCTTTCTTTCTTTTTTCGTTTGTTCGTGTGCGTGTTCCTTCGTAAATTTGCCACGTTTGCACGTTACCATTCTTTAACGTTTTTCGAACGTTCCCTTCTCATCCTCTTAGAACACGACTTGCTTGATGTTTCGTGTATTAAATTCGTGTCGTTGTTATGCATGCACGCAAATTAGAGACATGCCATCACGTGAGAAAACAGAACGAGACAGTATTACGTGTCGGTTTAGAACTTACACGTTTTCATCTGATACGACTACTTTAACTTTGTTACTTATAGGTTTCTTTTCTTCTTCCTTTTTGTTTGTAAAAAGAAAAAAGATCGATACATCGATAATATAAGACCGTTTACAATGTAAATTAGTCAAGCTGCATGAATCTTTATGCATCCATTATTTTTATTAACTATTCTGTTTTCTTCCTTTCTCTCTTCCTCTTATTTTTTTTCTGTTATTTTACGTTATTAAAGCTCCTAGGTATTTCGTATTTGAATAATAAAATGATAAACGTTTAAAGCAAATTTTCGTTAAATTTCTAAGTGAACGCAAAAACCTGATATGTGATAAAAGTAACTTACAAAAGTTTTATCGAACGATTCTTACATTTACTTTTGTTTCAATCATATTAAATTATGTACATGATATACTCGTATTTTCATAAATAAAATATAAGATTAAGAATATTGTAAAAACATATAAGAATTGAAATGACACATATTAGGTTCTTGCATAGACCCACAAAACTGTATGTAGAGTTACCTTCATCGTGACGTTCGAAGGTAGTACTACGTTTGAAAGTAAAATACGGAGAGACCTAGGGTATACTATGGTAAAACAAGTTGCCAGAGAAGATGCAAAGATTTGAAAGACAAGCGACCTTAAAACGTAGTACGAATAGATTCGATCCCCAAGAACGTATCACTGTCTTCCAGCACGTAGAACGTTCTCTGAGTGGTGCAAAAGGACCGATTGAAAATATTGGCATGAATTCAAAAGTGTGCTTCTTTTTCTAGAGTTCACATGGTAAATTCGACTTATTCATGATATTAGTTTATCGGGCGAAATAGAATCGTGGATAAAGAAAGAAAGAAAGAAAGGAAGAAAGAAACGGAATGCAATATTTTTCCTATACGGAAAAATGTAGGTATATTCAAAGATCTTGTAGTAAAATAAAACGTAAAAAAAGAAAGAAAGAAAAAAAAAAAATTCTTTCCTCTTCTATTTCGAAAACTTTCGCATCGTATAATAAACGAATGAACGCACGAATGCACGAGGAAATGGACTTTCGCGGAAAACGCATTTGCGGTAATAATTATGGATAACAGGTGTATGCGAAAAACACGAAGCTCGCTGAGGTAAACCAATCTAGCCGGTTGGTTTCGTGGTCCATCTTTCGTCCGTTTACGTTTAACTGGTTTGAGATGGTAACATGTAAAATAGCGGAATTGATCGAGTCGATGATTACTCGCTGTGTGGAGGATCAAGGTCGCTGAGGGTATACGAAGAAGGAATGAAAAGGAAGGCGAAAAATTAAAGAGAGAGTTAGAGAGAAAGAGAGAGAGAGAGAGAGAGAGAGAGAGAGAGAGAGAGAGAAAGGCAAAACGATAGAAAGGGGCACGAGTACGATAATCGGTAAATTACATTTTATGCCGATCGAAATAAGCGTTTTACGCTTTCTAATTGGTTTCCACGAGAGTTCGCGAAGGATGAAAATTTGTAGATAATTTGCGTTCTCATCTATACGTACATACGCGTATATATATACACATATATATATATATATATATATATATATATATATATACCGCGTGGATCAACCGTATACCCGGTTCTTCCGAGGGTATTACAAGAGAAGAACGAACATGATTCATAGATTCGAGTAGTTCGTATCAAGAGAGAAGAACGAAGAGAAGAGAAAGTCGCATAATTCTATCGGATCCTTCGATAAAATCCCCGTAGGTCGGATACGAAATACTTAGTATCCAAGCGGCGCCTTCATTATCTCGTAATACCAGCGCATTATAACAGTAAGTGCTACCTGTCTTGCGCGCCTAAGTCCCCAGGAAGCGAGGCATTGATTACGGTAATGCGAACTACCCCGAGTACGCGCGTATATAACAAGTAACGTCTCTTCCTACAATTTGGCGTCGCGAAAGAACTTCTAAAAGAGCGACAGGACGACGACTCCTGCCGGAAGTAAAAGATTCAAACGGTCCTTTACATCCTTTGGATCCTTCGTTCATTCTTTCTCTCTTTTTCTCTCTATCCGTTTCTCTTCAACTCGGCCTTTTCTTTTTCTTTTTCTTTTTCTAATCGTGACCCCGTCATTCTGTTTCAGGTGCTCTCTCGCAATCGCAATTTCCAGTGTTCACGATCTACGCTCAGAAGAGTTGTCTCGCTGTGAAACCGTGCGAACGCGCTTGGTGCATCGACAGAGTACAGGGCCATCGTCTTCAGGGTCACGCGCGCAGGACCATGAGCGCGTCCTCGCGACAACATTGTCTGGAACTCTGCCTAGGCGAAAGGGACTTCCTCTGTCGGTGAGTAAAAGAAGAAACGTTTTTCTATTCTACTATCAACCAAACCGATCTTTCTCTCTCGTTTCCCGTCGATCTTTTCTTTACCATTCGCGATATAAAGGACGTGGAGGACGACGAGGACGAAGAAAGGGAGAAGAGAACTTTAAAGAAGAAGATATCGGTCTAGTAGAAAATCTAACCAACACTTAGATGCACACGGTCCAACGCCTATTTCCAGTTATCGGATTCCTTGGCCGAGGGTAGAAAAGAACGATCTTACGTCACGGTTCTACGAGTTTTCGACGATTTCGAGTTATATGGGGGAACTTTGTTTTTTTTTTTCCTTTCTAGATTTATTTCTTTGGCAACGAAGATAACGATACTGTCCACTTTTTAACGAAGAACGGTACTTTGATTCCTTAAACCAAACCAAATCTAATTTTGTCGATTTTTACAAAAGAAAAAAGAACAAAATCGAGTACCTGATTTTGTTAATCCATGTTAACAGACTTTGATAAGGTTGTAATTTTAAAGATAACTATACCGGGGACTTATGCAGCTAGCAAAGTCGATTTTATTTGAAGTAGCGTTTAACAGCGCGTAACCAGACGCAATAACGTCTATCAGGATTTTCTTATTAGTCTCGGCGCGAGTTAGCAGGCGGCGGCGTACGCTTCTCACTGATAGATAAAGACAGAAAAGGGGCGCTCGTTCGTTCCTTCGTTCCTTCCTTCCTTCGTTCCTTCCTTCGCTCGCCGTTTATGCGATTACATCTCTCAACGGCAGTTGGTGAGCGTAATTACGCAAGGCGTAGGTAGGATGATGCGGTTCTTTCATAGTAAGGACGAGCCACGCGCGCACGCCTTTCTAAGAGGGGTGGTAAATGTTTTTAAGCACTTATGCGAACGGTGCCTCGGCCTTACTTACTTTACGACGTCGATCGCATCGCGGCCGATTTAATTGCTCTCTTTCATAAACTTCACCGACCGACCGACCGACTGACTCTACGAACGAACGTACGACCATAATCGCCTCGCATGCGGTACATCTATTATATTTATTTCCCTTTTCTTTTTTCCTTTTTTTTCTTTTCTTCTTTCCTCTTTTTCCCTTTTTCACTTGCAGTGCGAAAATCATTTACGACGATCGTGTACGACGATGAAAGGTGGTGAAGTAACAACCACGAGAAAAGGAAATGCATTATTACAACACTATCGTTTCAATGAATTAACGTTACACGTTAAATGATCGATCGTTTTCGATTTCTTCGAAACCTATTCGAAATATTATAGTATACGTAGTCTCTGAGGTATAGATATGTGAGGAAAACCTGTGACGTTCGATCGTATCATTTACTTATGATTTTTTTCACAAAGAGTGAGAGAGAGAGAGAGAGAGACAACTCATTTGCACGGAAAAATACGAATATTTTCGTTCATTCTGCACACGTCCCCCTCTCCCTCACCCCAGTCTAACATTTTTGTTTCCTTTGACACGTGATACGAAAGAATTTCTCTCCCGGTCGCGTTCCGACGTTTCAGTCTTTTACCTCTTCCCCGTTGCTTCCTCAAAGCTAAATCCACCACCGACGATACAAAGAAAGGAAAAGGGACTGACTATTTTTATTGTCTTTTTATTTTCATTCTTTTTTTCTCTCCACCTCGGTCGCGTTCATTGTTGCCGAGCATGAAATATTTCAAGCACGTGTTCCATTTACCACAATAGGAAACTATGGACATCTAGTTCTTTATCACGGGGCCATAAGTCTCGCCACTTGATCATTTTTTTTTTTTATCCTTATTTCTTCCCGACTTATTTCTCCTACGATTCTATTTTTTTTTATAAAAAGAAAACGTCTCGGGAAAGTCTTATCTCGAATAATTTCATTTGTCGGAAGAAGAAACGAATTTCGTCGGGGGTGGGGGTCGTACGAAGTGGTAGGTATCACGAATCATTCTTTTTATTGGAAATTCGTGTCAAACAAAATTCCGTAGAATAGGAGAATAAACCGGCATGCGTCGAAAATAAGTTTGACGGTGTACGACGACGACGACGACGACGACGACGACACGTAATTTATTCTCTGCAAAGCCATTAGCGGTACGAATAGAAAGACGATGAAGAAGAAAGAAGAGGGAAGAAGAAGAAGATGCATTCGATGCTCTTTTCATTGCGCAAGCACGCGGAAGAGGACGCCGAGTAGCATCGCGTCTTCCGATTTCGATGGAGTTCGTGTTTGCGCGGTATCACGCCGACGCGTCAAACTCTCTTTCTCTCTCTCTGTCTCTCTCTCGAATGCACGTGCACACCTTGAAAGCCTTCCAAAGCATAAGGTCTCTCTGGAAACGAATCTCGCTGTTGTACGTTGACTCTGACCCTAAGCTGGAAAGGGTCGAGAGGTTCCTTACCCACGCGCAGAACCATCTAGGAACTACCATATTTATACGTCTCGATCGCGACAAGAACGAAAGTAACATGATCGAGAAAAACCAACAAACAACTTCCCTATATCTTTTTTTCGAACGATTCCCGAACGTCCAATTTGAAAAAAGAAAAAACAAAAAATAAGAAAAAAGGAAGACAAAATTTTAATCGAGTATTTTACGAATAAGATTAATTTTTTCTTATTAGAAGAAAAAATAATAATAAGAAGAAGAAGAATAAGTAAATGGTAACTTTGAGAAAAAAAAAACGAAGTATTCTTTAAACAACGAGAGAGAGAGAAAAAAAAGAAGGAAGAAGCTCGTTAATTTAACCCATAGACTTTAAGTATGCGACCCGAGAAGGTCTTCCATGCTCTAGTTGCGAATAATCAACGGGGAAGTAGTTGCCACGATGATATTACGCAAGAATAATACGTATGAACGTGCCACACAGCTCTTTCGTTCGCGTTGCTCGTTCTGTCGACCGAACCAAAACGAAAGGAAAGGAATCCCGGTGAAGAGGCGTAATAATAATACGGCAAAACCGTATTCAAACTTTTCATGGGAATGATTTTTTCCTCGAAACATGTTACACTTACCTCAGTATCAAAAGATTACGGTGATCTTTAGATTAAATTAACAATGATTTCGATTCTTCTTCGATGTTAACCCAAAAGAACATTATAAATCATTCAAATTCCCCTCCGCCCCCACGTTATCTTTCTATCTTGCTTCGTTAATCTTCGCGTAAAATTAAAATAATAAATAGATAAATGAATGAAATTCAATAGGATTTATCTTAGTACTCATTCATTTATTAGAAACGAATACGATGTGTTGTATGTGTGTGAAGGAGGTCGCGTTCGATGCATCGGGTCGACGAACGTGAAGGTATACGAAAGGAGGAGGAGAAGAAGAAGAAGAATAAGGAGGATAAGAGAAAGAAAAAAGAAAGAAAGAGAGAGAGAAAGGTGCGAGAAGGAAGAACAAATGCGCTTACGATCGTCCGGTCGAAACGATCGATCAAATAGCGAATACTCTTCTCTGTTGTATGCTTCGTTCGAACAGAACCAAGCCTTCGAACTCTTGCCATCTCTTTTACTTTTACTCCACCAGCTCCTCCACCTCCTCCATCTTTTTCATCTTATATCTGCTACGAGCTCGGAATGAAACGAAGAGAAAGAGATACGTTATTATCCGGGACGCGCGGCACCCTATCGAACTTCCTTGTTAACGGGTAATGAGTTTATTGTTTAAGAATCACGCGGATGTTACAACACGTGCTGCAATCAATTACATTAATGTAATGTAATCGTCGCAAGGTCCCGCGGTCCCCGGCATTTACTTCGAATATAATAAGGTTTCTTCTCTAATGAGAAGGTTGTTTATAGTACGAAGAGTTCAACACCGTTTGCGTTACTTTTGCCGCCACCGTAAGGTGGTAGTGGTGGTACTACACGACATATTCACGAACGTATTTGTTTATATAGAAAATTACGTGAGAATAAGATAGAAGAAATTTTGCCGTTTCTAATAACACGTGGTGGATTTGGATTGGTTCTTTCGTATTTTTGTACAACCCCATGATGCACGCTGTATTTTCGTTCTATATACCATTTCGTAATACTGAGATCAAAGGGAAAGAATTTGAGAATCGAAGTGTTGTTCTTAAAAAAAAACGTATAAACACACCCGGAGTTCTGATGCTGAAAAACATTCGACCGTAGTAAACGAAAGAAAGAAAGAAAAAAAAGAATAAAAAGAAACGGGTGTGGGGAGTGAAAAGAGAAAAGTTAAAAAAACATTAAGAAGAAAAAAGGGAGGAGGAGGAAAAGGAGGAAGAAGTGCAGAGATGAAAATTGAGGTGCAGAGAAATGAAGTCGAGAAGTTCGATGAGTTTTGAGAAAATGCCAGAAGAAAGTAAGGAAGGAAGGAACGAGGATAGAAAGAAAGAATTGGACCCGATGGAATATTAAAATAAGTTCGATCGTTCGGCCGCATTGTGAAATGCTAATGAACCTTCTGTTTTGAGTCGTAGTTTAAATAAAGCCTTAAGAATCAATAGCCAGGATGGTACATATATTAAACTGCTAGTGGAAAATTTCTCGAGAAGCGTATCGAGAGAAATACACGATTTACCTTAAGGTAAAGTTTCTCAAATGCAGCATCGACGTAAAATTCTTTTTGTCGTTGAATTCATCGAACCGTACCAAATCCTTCTCTCTCTCTCTCTTTTTTTTTTTTTTCATTCATACTCCACTCGACATTTTAATTTGCCCGTCTTCTTTCTCCCACTTTCGCAAACATAATGCATACACGCATAAGGGCGCATCCTCGAAACGCGAATACCTTGACCATTAATACGGTCCCAACTACGATACTTCTTCTTTTGTACCCATTGCAATCGAGTTCCTTGGAACACATTGCGCCAACAAATGAAAGTCGCTTGCCAAGCGCAAAAGTCGAAGAAGTCTCGGAACAAGCACTTACGTACCATGACTAAGTAAAAGTGACGTAGGGAAGCTGCGACTGCGACGTTTGCGAACTTGCGACCGGACACACACGTAAAAGAAAGAAGTCAAATGAAATAAAATAAAA